ACATCGTTTCAAGCAACCGTTAAATGTAATGAAGAACGAGTATTTGATGCAAAGATTGTTGATATGATCTACTCCCTCCATTCCCAAATAATTGTCTTTCTAGCCATCTCAAATGAACTACAACATACGGATGTATGTAGACATGTTTTAGAGTGTAGATTCACTCATTTTGCTCCGTATGTAGTCACTTGTTGAAATCTCTAAAAAGACAATTATTTAGGAACGGAGGGAGTAGCTGAAGAGCGGACAAGATTAAAAACTATAACTTCCACAAAAAGCATAGAGTTGAGGTCAACCCTTAAAATTTAAAGTGAATCGACAAGCCATACAATCTGATTTACATGTACATATGATTTTTAAAGTGCTACTCATAGTCAAAGTTCTAAAACGTTTGACTAAAGGCGTGTCTAAAACATCAGCTATTTGTGATATAAGGTAGTATACGAGATTACAAAATGGGTTTCACAAAAGGATGAAACCTGGATCTATGTTGGGCATGTAAAGTGATGACCTTTGAGTCATATAGATTACTGATCTTGCATGACAGTCAGATAACATGTGCCAAAAAGTATATTTGATAATCATCCAAGATTAAACTTGTAGCACCACCTAACACAATCATACCAAATGGTCAGTTAGAAAAGGAAAAAAGAAATGGACACCTAACCAAAGCTATCTAGGAAAGGAATAGGATGCATCAAATCATGCCAGGAGACCTATAAATAGAATACCAATGAAGATCCACATCCATCATCCTTCAACCAAATACATATATCAAATCAAACTAATAACCAGACATCATGAAGACCTTGTTCATCCTCGCTCTCCTCACCCTTGCGGGGACCGATGCTGTTGCGCAGCTGGACACTACCCATAGCCAGGGCTCCGAGCAATGTCAACAGCAGCAGCAACCATGGCAACAATGGCAGCAGCAGATGGAACCATGTGTGCAATTCCTGCGGCACCAGTGCAGCATGGTGACACTGCCATTTGTCCAGTCTCGTATGTGGCAACTTAGCAGTTGCCACATAATGCGACACCAGTGCTGCCAGCAGCTAGCGCAGATCCCGGAGCAGTTCAGGTGCCAGGCCATCGACAACGTGGCTCAAGCCATCATGCAGCCGCAGTCCCAACAGCAAGGAAAGGTGTGCATGCACCAGCCCCAGCAGCAAGCACCGGTTGAGATCATGAGGATGTCGCTTCAGGTCTTGCCATCGATGTGCAGCGTGTACGTCCCGGCATACTGCAACCCCTACGGCATCCCTATGGCCAGATGTGGCGATGGATGGGTTTGTGAGTCAATGTAGTGGTGGCAAAATAAAAGTGACCTGCATGATCATGCGTGGCCTGCATGATCATGAGAGACCAGATCAAGGGATGTACAGACATGAACAAGCTTTAAACAAACAAAAAAGTTAACGGATAATACCAAATTACCAATACAATGAACGAGCTTTAAACAAATGATGAACCTCAACCAAAGCGAGCTGATGCCCGGCGAGGAGGCGGAGTCGGAGGCGCTCGTCGATGGATGCACCGGCCTTGCGCACGTTAAATGTGCTTGGGCCCAAGCAAAGAAGCCCAGCCCTGACGAGTAGCCGGAACTGTTGGCCCAAGTTAATTAATAAGGCTACGATGATGCAGCCACCAGAGACGATACCAACCCCTCAAAAGAAAAACAGAGACGACGATACCAGACCAGTCCAGGAGGTCGGAGGCGAAGGCGACGACGCGAGCCATCGCAACCACCTGCAGGACGCTGGGGGCGCCGCTGCCGGCGCATCACCTTGGCCGCCGATCTCGACTGCCCGCTCGTTCTGCAAGGCTTGTGCTCCCCTCACCCCCCAACTCTCGCCGAAACACTAGATAGCTCCATTCTTCCTTATTTGTTGATGTAGCAACAGCGCACTCCGGCTGTGTTTGTTGCCAGGGTCCCTGAAGATGATTTGGCTGCAGGGAGGGAACAATCAACAAGTTTCTGTTCTCTGCACCTTGTGAACTCACGAGTTGGATTGTAGCAGCATATATTAGACCTGAGAATAGCATATGCATGGTTTTAGCAGGCCATCCATCCTTCTAATTTTCATTTCTTCGTTGCCTCATATTTCTAAATATTTTTCTTTGAATTTATTGTGTTTTTGCAGATAGTTTGACATAATGAAGAGCACTAGGAAACTGTGTGTTGCCTCTACGTTCGCGCAACTTGCTGTCCTCGGGTTTGATGGTTGGGCAGACCTTCCAGATGGTCCGCTAAGCTCCATTCTTGCACTGTCAAGATCCTTCCGTGATGTTCTTGCGTTCGCTGCAACCTGCCGCTCTTGGTGTGCTGCATTTTTCTCATACCCATCAAAATCTACATTTTGCACCAAATTCCCGCCTCTCCTCGTCCAATTCAATGCCCGTGTTCAAGCTCCTGATCTCCCTTCTAACAATGGTCGTCAAAAGCTACGCACATGTAAGGTCATTGATCCGATCAACAAGAACATCGCCCTGCGCTGCCAAATTCCTCGGGAAATTTATCAGAAGATGCAATTCGCTGGCACTTCCTATGGTCAACTAATTTGCTGCCGTGCTGGATATTGTCTTGTTGTTGATGTGTTCAGTGGTGCCGAGGTTTCTCCTCCATGTCTCCCATTCAGCGGTGATTGTGAGAGGGAGTTCTACTTCTACGTTAGCGGCACTCGGACAGCTCCCCTTGCATCACCCAACTCACACCTCCTTGTCAGTACTGCAACCGCCCTGTTTGATTGGTCTGTTGGAAGTGACTCTTGGTCTGTACTCCAGCTTTCTAAATTCCGATGCACCGATAGAAAAAATTGTGGAATTCAATGGTCAGTTCATCGCCATGGATGATTTTTACAAGATCTACACATTGCAGCTGTCCCCCCAGCTTGGTCTGCAGGAGATAACAACTGAGTGGGTTGGTGACCTGGCCCCAAGCTCTGACGCCAAACCATGGCTAGTGGTCTGTGGCAACATGCTTCTTATGGTTTACTGTTTCAGTACAACGAGTCTAGGCTACTCAGTAGTACAATGTATACCCCCACCACCTTGACATGTCGACCAGCCCTGCAAAATGGGTGGAGGTACACCAGCTGGATAATTGGGCACTCTTTGTCGGGGGTGATGTGAGGAGCCGGCTGTTTTCTTGCATGAGTCCGGAGAGGTGGGGTGGGAGGAGCAAGTGGCTGTACTATGTTGGCCGTCGCTCTTTTATTGTACACGGAGTGGGAGACGAGCGAGATCCATCTGCTGGTCCCAATGTAGAGTACGAGAGAAGCTGGTCCGACAGGTTGCAGCCCCTCTGGGTGTATCCAAGCATGTTCTACTCTGATGCCCGGTGATCGTCGCACGCAGCTATGGCTTGATGCTCTGCATGCTCCTGATAAAAATTTCCCTTACAACATAGTAGGGACTTTTGCAACTTGGGCAGTGCCATCGTAACAATATCACTTATAACTTGGTGGTGTTAGTACTGAAGCTTTTGTGGCAGTTTGGTGCTTGGAGCTTGTTAGGAGTAGTCAAGCTTCTAATCAAGTTAGTAGTATTAATTTAGTTGTGTTGTTTAATCTTGTACTGCATGATGGGTAATACTTTGAACTACTTGTTGCTCCTCTCTTCCCCAATTGACAAGTTTAAGTCTTCTAGACTGCGTTAACTTAATTTCATCTAACGTATTTCTGTATGTCCTTGGCTTCTATCACTGGACAAGTTCATCTCTTGTGAATATTTACTTTGTTGCAATTTTTAGTAGAATGCTAAAGGACCATCAAAACTGCCAATGTTCGTTTTGAATGGATAATCAGAATTGCTTGTGTCTCGATTCTTCTCTAGTCAGAGAGCTAAAATATACACCTACCATCAGGTTCACCCAGATGCATAATATGTTGCTGAACGATAGTTTCATGAGAAACCTGATATTTATCTTCAGTTTCATGCCTGGCCGACCTTTGTTTCCTTTGTTAGGTTGATCTCCTCTGAGCAGGCCCAACGGCCTGCCAGGCCCTTGGTCAATGCGCCCTGATCGCGGGCGCCCAACCCATTATGGTTGGTGGGCCCCTGTGACCCGCGCAATATTAACAGAGGTGGGGGCCGGGGCATGACTTACGAGGTTAATCGCTGCCACAATCCCCATCGACACTCCATACCGAACTAGGGTTAGCGCGGTGCTCACGGGAAGCTCCACCGCCGCCATCCACTCTCAGCCATCACCGGCCACCGTCACCATGGCCGGCACCGGGAGTTCTTCGCAAGGCAAGGCAGAAGGTAGGTTCACCGGAATGATCTAACCGTCCCGATCCAAAGCACTCTATCAATGGTATCAGCCAGATCGGGTTAGATTTTTTTCGGTTGAAAAGAAACCAAAGAAAAAAAAATCCCCTTTTCCCAAGAACCCTAGACAGGGCAAAGGAATTTCAAAGAAAAGTTGCGCCGCCGCACATAGCCGCGCCGTTCCTCTGGATCCCGAATCGCATTGGCAAGCCAAGGATTCGGGAAGAAGAACCACCCCACGGGGCAAAGGGCACCGCGACCAAACCGCTCGACGGCGGCGCGCTCACCGCAAGGTGGACGCACAGCCGGCGAGGGGGAAGGCCACGGCGCCGCAGCCGTCCGCTCCGCCGTCCTCGGGCGCAAAGGGGAGCAGAGGAGGTCTTGACCGCTCGTCCCTTTCTCTCTCTGTTGCTGGAATCGGATGGAGAGATGGACGGAGGAAATAAGAAAGGAAAAGTGACGGGGCTCGCGCGGTGTGGTGGTTTTTGCCGCCGTCGCCGGTGGCCGGCCGCGCCCTAGCTCCGCTGCCACTGGACAGAGATGAACAGGGAGAGGCGCGGCGCTGCGGACCGGAGAAAAGAAAGGGAAAAGGGGGAAGGGAGAGCAGGCGCGCGCGGCGCGGTGGCTTCCGCCGCCGCCGCCGGCGGCCGGGCAGGGCAGCCGGGTCGCTGATTTTTCTCGCCGTCGCCGTTCCTGATCTGACGGAGCGAGCGGCGCGTGGGGAAGAGAGAAATGGGGCTAGGTTTTCGACCGAGGCCAGTGCGGGTTGTTTCGATTGCGCGACAAGCACGGACGTCCGTCCGATGCATCGGACGGCGACGATAGCACGCGGCGCTCACCTAGCAGGCTGTGGGCCGCGACGAGCGGGCTGCAGAGCGGCGCTCGCCCAGTGGGCTGTGGGCTGCGTGCGTGACAGAATGGGCCTCTGTCGACTGCCCAGAGCGGCGAAAGGCCAGCACAGTTTTCTCTGTTATTTTTTTACAGCGCATAGTTTTGATGCTTTTGTCCAGTTTTTTTTTGGCCAGATCTCTAATAGATTTTCTATACAATTTTTTCCAACAAAAATTCAGTTTAGAAAATAGAAAAGAAAAAAAAGGTATAAAAGTTTCTGAAAATGAAAATAGACAGTTTCAGAAAAAGAAATGTTCATGAATTTTACAAAGAAAATAATAAAGTTCATGAGTTTTTATTTGGTCAAAGAAAATTTTCTGTAAAGAGTAAAAAGTTCATATTTTTTATTCATGTTTTTCCGCTGCATAAATAATTAATAGTGCTCTTTTACAAAGAAAATAAAAGTTTAGATAGAATTAAGTTTTTAAGAGCGTGTTAAAGTGAATATTAAAATGAATATGCTTATGTTATTTTTATGACCAACGTTGTTAATAACATGATCATGTTTTATTATTGAAATTTAAAAGTGCTCTTTTAAAAGTGAATAAAGTTAAAGTAAAAGATTAAATTGTTGCTTCTCTAATGCATTTTTGAACCAACCAGTTAAAATTGCTTAGCGAGTAAAAGAGTACAGAATTGTTTTTAAATAAAATATTATAAAGTTTCCGCTGGAAAGTAAAAAATTTATCCTCCAATTAAATTCAACGGGAAAATTTAATTGGAAGAAATGTTCTTAGAAATGTTTTTCCCCTGTGGGTGAAATAAGATGCAGATAGTTTCCGCTATGGCAAAAAGAAAGATATTTGTATTAAAGTTAAAATATGGTATTGTTATTTTCTGACCAACGTTGATAATGACAGTGCTATAATTCTATGAGTCTTTTGTTCAAAGTTTACATCTCTGATAAATTTTGTATCAAAGTGATCAATTTTCAGAGAACGGATAAAGATCAAGAAATGCTCTTGAACTAGAGAAATGTATATTTCTTGTTCCCGCTGCAATAAAGTTGTTGATGATGATTAATTCTTAGCAAAGTTGTTTAATATAAATACTATTATCACATTGTTTATGAGTTATATGCATTATTTCCATTTCCGCCCAACGGTGATATGGAATTAATGTAGAAGGATGATGTTTATTCTAA